GAGGGCTGCACTGACGTTTGGCGTGATGCGGCTGCAATGGTGCTGGGTCACAGTAAGTGGGGGAGGGGTATCATGTCAACGCAGCAGGTGTTTTCCGAGCACCCCTTGTGTGCCCCTAGCCCTGGGGCAGTGGGGAGACAACTCACAGTTCCTGCCCTTGGGAGACGCCCAGGGCCAAAGGAGGGCACAGGGCACCTGCAGAGACCTGTCTGCTCTTTCCCAGGGGCATCCTCCGTGCCCAGTGCACTGACTGGCACTGAGGAGACAATAAATACTTGTCCACCTTTATCTCCTTCAGACTTCCCAAACCCTCCACCTGCCTCCAGAGCATGGTCGGTCTTCTCAGAAGGGTCTTTCCCTTTTGTCCGACAGAAACCTGACCAAGGAGGCTGTTCTTCCTCCCACACCCAGGCACCTCAGGGCCTGGCCCCTTAACGCTCCCAGACAGTCCCACTCCTCCTCCCTGCAAGACCCCTGCTTCTTTGAAGACCACGCCATCAAACGATCCCCCTCCCCGTTGCTGTCCCTGTGTCCTCCTTCCATGCCTCTCGGTTCTGATCAGTCACCTCCTTGTGGACTCAAACACCCCTTAGATGAGCCTGGGGGACATCCTTGACTCTCTGTTCTCTGACCGCCTCACTTCCACCTTCTCGCCTCTGCCTCATCCGTGCCACTCTCCCCTCGTCCTCAGCAAGAACTGCCTCCCCTGACCAGGGCTTGACCATGCAACCTTGGCATATTGGAGAGGCACTCTAACCAACACAGCTAGCCAGCCAGGGCAGCTTTGTGCCCCTTAATAGCACACATTTTCTGTTTCTTTGCTTAATTACAAAGACGAAAGGGCCCCAGCCGGTGTGGGTCAGTGGTTGAACATTGATCCAGGAACCAACAGGCTGCTGCTTCGATTCCTGGTTTCCCCAGTCGGAGCCATGCAGGAGGCAGCCGACTGATGATGTTCCTCTCCCATTAATGCTTCTCTTCCCATCCCTCTCCCTTCCTCTCTGGGAACTAAGGACAGGATGAAGGAAAGAAGGAAGGAAGGAGGGTAGAGGCAAGCCCACCCTCAGGACAGACCTGGACCAGAGAAGACAGCTCCCACGAATGAAAGGAGCTAACCCTGGCTGGGGCATCCTTAGTGCCAGGTGTTCCAAGTACAGCAGATCCATTTACTTCATTTTCTCCTTCCTCCCCTGGGGTGCTCAAAACAACACTCTGGCCCTGGCTGGTCTGGCTCAGTCGACAGAGCATTGGACTGTGGACTAGACGGTCCCGGGTTCGATTCCAGTCAAGGGCACATGCTCGGGTTGCGGGCTCGATCCCGGGGGGGTGGGGGGGGGTGGGGAGGGGCATGGAGGAGGCAGCTAGTCAATGATGCCCTTTCATCATTGATGTTTCTATCTCTCTCCCTCTCTCAAATCAATAAAAATATATATTTTTTTTAAAAAAAAACAGCACTCTGAGAGCAGCTGGAATTTGGATCTCCTCCTTCTAACCCCCCTGACGGCTCTCAGGGGAGGAACCGGGGAGGTGGGACGGAGGGAGCGCGCCCCCGGGGGACTCACCTGTGGCCGAGATGAACTTGTTGTAGTTCTCATAGACCAGGGTCTGCATGTCGCTGTCCAGGGCCCGGATCTGCCGCACCATGTCCGTCTCGCTGTCCATCAGCTGGGCCAGGGGGCACTCTCTGCGCAGCTGGAGGAGACGGGGTGCGCAGCGCTCAGGTCAGAGGGTTCTCGTGTCCCCACCCCTTGCCCCGAACTGGAAGGCTTTCGGTGCCAGAAAACCCTTTCCCACCCCCGTCAGGAACCCGAAATGGCGTCTATAGTGGCACAGCTCAGGAGTTATAGGTTTGGGGAACCATATTTGGGGTTTGTCAGCCTTTGAAATCCTCAGCTTCACCCAAGGCCCAGCCCCGAGCTGTGAGCGGCGGGGCCACGCCCGCGACCCGCCTGTCAGCTCAGGGGGCTCAGACCCACCCAGACTCCCCACGCCCCCTCGGGCTCCAGCTTCGCGCCGGCTGCCTGGCCGAGGGTCGGCTACTTTCACGACCCCCTGCTTCTTTCACCTCCGTAACAGAGTCGGCGGCATGTTCTGGGGGTGCACTATATCGGGGCCTGGTTCCCCCTACATACACTTACCTTGTCCAGATACACTTCCGGGTCGAAGTGCGCACCGTTGAGGTCTGTTGGGTCCAGGGGGTCCGACCCCGGGGGGCGCCCGGCCGCCTCCCCCTCCGAGAGGCCGTAGTAAAGCTTCAGCATCCCGTGCGCCTTCCTGCGACGCTCCGGAGCCTCGGCCTCGGGCCCCTCCGGGGAGTCCCCGGGGCCAGAGCCCGGGCCGGGCCCCGCGGCTGCAGCCGCCATCGCCCCAACTGCAGCCCCCGGCGTGAGGCTGGGAAGGGGCCTGGGAGGAGGCACTTCCGGGAATCCTAAAGTGGTGGAAACGAGGTAGTCCTTCAGGTGAAACCTTCCCCCGCCGTCCTGGGTCCTTCGAGATTAGAGTTCCCCCGCATCTTTCCTCCTCGAGCGAAGAGGTTCCGAGAGAGCCCTTGGTTCCTCCAGCTTTTCAGGTGGAGGGAAGGCAGGTAGTGGCTCCGGACCCCGCTCCCCCGCTCCCCCGCCCCCCCGCTCTACCCTCCACCCCGAAGAAAGGACCCGCTCTCTGTAGAGCCAGAGAGCTTGTGCCTGGCCTCCTGCCACTGCCTGGGTTCCATTGCCACCCCAATTCCCAAAATTGGGGTACATTCTTCACAGGGGAGTTGCGAGAGTTAAATGCACTTACAGTACGCCACTCGGAGCCTCTAGTGCAACCTCTGGAAGCCTGGTTCTCTGACGTGCATCAGAATGGCCTGTGGTGTGTTTTGAGACTGGGCTTCCCCCAGACCTAGCTCCTTTTTAAAAAGTCCCCAGGGAGTTCTGGTGCACTTACATATACGTGACTGATAGGATGTGCTGGGTGAGGGGTCGAGTGGAGACGACGATAATTCTCAGGTTTGACTTGGGTAAAGGTGCCGGCCGGCTCACCAAGATGAAGAGCTCAAGAGGACAGGGGGTGACGAGGAGTTCACACTGAGACCTGCCGAGTTTGAATGGAACCGCGACCGTTTGGTGCAGGGGAGGACGCTCTGTTGGTATGGCGTGGCCCATGCACTGAGAGGTTGTAGGTTCAATTCCCAGTCAGCACAGCACATATGTCCAGTTTGCCAGCTCGATCCCCAGTAGGGAGCATGGAAGAGGCAGCCAATTGATGTTCCTCTCTCTCTAAAATAAACAAAAGCATATATATGTACATGTACATTTTAAATGGCATTGAGCTGGGAGCCCTAATATAAAAATGTTTATTTGTATTCAAAGGAGAACTGAGGTGCAAACAGTTGTTTCAACAGTGGGACCATGGCTGGGCATTGGGTCGTCGCCCCTTTAACGTGTCAGGAGGGAGCTCTGAGGGGCTGTTGTGATTAGTGCCACTGGGCAGCAAGCATGGGCAGAGAGGTCAGGCTCTAACCCCACCCACTGGAGGCGGAAGACTTTGGGCCATGACCTGACCTGGGACCTAATGTCCCGGGCAGGCAGGTGGCAATGGGGGTGGACAAGTTTAACATTAAGTCCTCCCTCTTCTACTTTAGTTGCTGGGAACTTACATGTCCCTTTGCACCATTTCTGGCCATTTTTCAGGCTTACTTTGTTGACAGTCTTGGAGTTTTATTTTTTTTTAATAAATTTATTGATTTTTTTTTTACAGAGAGGGAGAGGGATAGAGTTAGAAACATCAATGCGAGAGAAACATCGATCAGCTGCCTCCTGCACACCTCCCACTGGGGATGTGCCCACAACCAAGGTACATGCCCTTGACTGGAATTGAACCTGGGAGCTTTCAGTCCGCAGGCCGACGCTCTATCCACTGAGCCAAACCGGTTAGGGCTTGGAGTTTTCGGTTTAAAAAAAATATATTTTTATTGATTTCAGAGAGGAAGGGAGAAAGAAACATCAATAAGAATCACTGATTGGCTGCCTCCTGCATGCTCCACACTAGGTGTTGAGCCCACAACCCAGGCATGTGAGGAATTGAACCCATGATCTCCTGGTTCATAGACCGACGCTCAACCACTGAGCCACACTGGTCAGGGGAGTTTTTTCCTTTTACATGTAGGGAGGAAATGTTTTTTTCTTGGCTTCTAACTGTCCCTTCTCATTCCACAGCCACAGGTAGAATTAGATTGTAGCCTCAGTTCTGACTCCCTCACTCATCAGCTGTGAACGCTTGAGCTAACAAGCCCTCTCTGTACTCCCGATTCATGTGTAAAATAGAATTTATGCCACCAGCCCCAGCTTTCTCATGGGACTCTTGGAATGAGAGACATGGGTGTGAAAATCTCTGAGTGCTGGAAGGTGGCAGAGGGGGAAGCTGGTCAGATCAGGTCCCTGAACATCTGGGTAGAGGGCTGAAAACCAGTTTTTCTTAGGGCCACACCTAAGGAGGGCATGGGGAAGGTCCCAGGACAGCCATGGAAGATCTACCACCCCTCTCCTTCCCTTGGTTCTTCTGTTAGGTGTTGAAGCAAATACCTGGGGCTTGTGAGCCCAGGCCTCGCCTCACCTGGGACCCCCTCCCACCCGCCCTTTCCTGAGCTGCAGTTCTTCATCTGTAGCGTGCCCACACTAACTCCTCAGTGGAACTGTTGAGAGGACTCGGTGAGAAGACATGCAAAGTGTAGAGGTGGGATGATGTGGAGACGCTGTCCCTTCAACACAAGACCCTACTGATCTATACCTTTAGCCCACCGCCCCTCCACAATTCAGAGCGCCCCTGGCCACCCATGAAACTCCTGTATTGGCTGGAACCAGCCTGTGTTCTAGAACCTTGTCTCCTAAATGATCTCCTGGTTCTAGAATCCCACTGCTATTTGAGATGGCACGCTCTAGAAGCAGAGGGGTCAGCTGCTCTTCCTGGGCGTCGTCTGCTCGCTCAAGCTCCACCGACCCGTCTGTGCTGCCGCCAGGATGCGATGGCGGGACCGCATTGCTGTGCTCTTCCTCCCGAAAGGCATGATGCTCACCGTGGCTGCACTGCTGCTCTTCCTCATGCACCTGGGCATCTTCGCCAGCGACGTGTACAACTTCTGCTTCACCTACCACTACGACCGCATGAGCTTCCGCTACACAGTTGTCCTGATGGTAGGCCAGGGCAGGGGCTCAAGGGCTGGTTGGGGGAGGCCCAGGGGCTGACGGAAACCCCGGCTGTGCCAGGGGGTCACTATCCCACTGGATGGGGCCTACAGTTTTCCAAGGTGATCAGCATCTGCTGGGCCGCCATGGGGTCACTCTACGCTGAGATGGAAGATTACAAGCTTGTTCGGAGCTTTGCCCTGACCATCCTGAGTGAGTGAGGGAACGGGGACCTTTGGAACCCTGAGAAGTGGCAGGGAAGGCTGATGGGGGCTCTCTCCTCCGCTCAGTGCTCAACGGAACCATGTTCTTCAACCGTCTGTCCCTGGAGTTTCTGGCCATGCAGTACCGGGAGGAGAGCCACTGAGGCTGGGGGACTGGGTTGAGAAGGGGGAAGGAAAAGGAGGCTTTGGGAATTTGAATAAAGTCTGCCATTTATTTCCACCTGTCAGCTCCCTCATGGGTTGGGGGTGGGAGGCCAGAGACCCAGGGGAAGCAGGTCAAGACAGACACTTGATCTGCAAGGACCCCAGGCCCAGTCTACAGCCACTCTAGTGGACTCGGCTTTGGGTCTGGGATCTTAGTGTCTCAGACTTAAGAGGAGCAGCAAAGGGCCCTCAGACCGGCCCAGCTCCCCTTTTCAGGGCCCCAGGTCCTAGGCTGGCCCAGCCTCAGGAGGGACCCACACGGATGTGAGGGTTCATGAGTGGGTCCAGGTTGGGATCATTGTCAGCTGCAGCCCGGCCCAGGCGAGACATGAGGGCAAGAAGGGCCAGGAAGCCCAGCAGTCCCAGCAGCAGCAGCAGCCCCGCCCGCTGGAGCAGGGTCAGCGGCCGCTTACGAGACCCATCCCGGCTCCTGGGGGGACGAGGGGAAAGTCAGATCAGGCCCTAGTCTCTGGTGGCCCTGTGGCCCGGAGAAGAGCCCTGGTCATGACGCTCATCTTCGGGCCCCAGCACCACCATTCCTGAGCCTCACTCATTCCCTCAAGTGTGCCATGGGGATGACCATCCCTGTCCCTGCCCACTACAAGGGTGACTGTGCAGCTTGAACCAGCTGAGGCGATGACTGTTCTGGAAACTGGAATGTGTCAGGCATGGGGACAGGCATAGATTGGATGGTGTTGAAGCAGGAAGGGGCCTCAGAGAGCCTGAATCCAAACCTCATATGTAAGGGCCAAGTGAGAGCCCGAGAGGGCAGACCCAAGACTTTTATTGTCAAGCTGAAGCCTCTCTACACAGCCGTAACACCGGGTACCCCGGTCAAGCCCCTTTTGTCATGAAATCGTTGTGCCCGGGGCCTCTGGCACTCACTGCCTTTCCTCCCGCTTCCTGGCATCCTACCCCACGTAACCCGGTGTACCTGAGCAGCTGGGCCAGCCAGCCCAGGGCAGGCCGGCGACGGTACTTGTCATCATCGCAATCCCTGTGGAGGCCTGGTGTCCGATCATCATCCCGTGTGTCATACACCTTCCTTGGGGCCGAGGCTGCAAGGGCAGAGCCACGAGCATTCACAGGCTCAGGGAACTGCTCCACCGCAGGGTGCGAGGGGAGGCAGGAGATCCTGGCCCTTCGAAGCCTGACATTGTATCTCAGAATTGTGGGTAGGTAACGTCTGTGCTTGGAGTGAGGAAGGGTCCCTCAGGTGGGTCTCTGGGGCCCTGAGCTCCCTCCACCCTACTCCATCCCCTGGCCCAGACAATCCCTGGCTCACCGTGAGTCAAGGGCTCGGAACTGCCCATGTGGATCACTGTGTGCTGCTCAGGTCGGTTGGGGGGCGCAGGGGGCCGGGGGGCTTGGCTGTAGAAGGCGGGGGCAGTGGAAGTGCTGGCTACCTCTTCTTGTGCTGAGGTACTGGCTGTGGCAGGAAGACAGCTGTCAGCAGAGCAGGGAGGCAAGGGCCCCAACAGTAGCTGGAGACCACCACTCACCATTAAAGCTGGACCAGTCAGAGAAGTCAGAAGTGTTGAGGGGCTCGGGCTCCGGGCTCACCACCTCATCGATCTGGAGGAAGGAACCTGTCTCACCAGGCTGCTCAGTGCTGTCCCCACTCCCTTATTTGGCCCAAGACAGATGGACAGACAGACAGAGGGACTCTCACCAGAGGAAGGCCCAGTCCTGCCCGGGCCCAGTTGACCGTGGTCAGCTTCTCTCTCAGCACAGAGGCCACAGGGCCAACCAGGTTGCTTGGGGGGAAGATAGGGCCACTGCAGCTGGGACACTGGTAGCCAGCAGGCGCTGTATTTCGGGGTAGCTGGGCAGCACGTTCATTGAGGCAGGCCCAATGGAAGAGATCTTAGGGCCCATGAAATAGCAGAGAAGAGGCATGAGGAAGAAGACACTTTAGGCTCCTCGCCCAGCAACAGCCCCCAGCCCACTGCAGGGATCTACACACACATACGTGTAGCCCAGAGCCTCCTCCTTCCCATCCTCACTCTAGATCCATGTCATCAGTGTTCCCTAAGCCTTCAGCCTTATTGGCTACCGCCATCGCCCTAAGTCAAAACAGATGCTACAAAGTTCCCCAGCCCACTGCGGCGTGGGTGTGGGTGGGAAGAATTTGTCAATCAACAACAGTTTCAGAAAAGCTTCCTAGACATGCACACAGGCACACGTGTGCTTGTACACACCCATGGGCACAAATATACATGGGCTTATAGATACATAATCAAACACAAATGCCATCCTGGTGGCTGTACTTACAGACACATCAACTCACACGTACACATCTATACATTCACTTGTTTGCTAACACTTGAGCGCCCTCACCCACACATTCTCCTGCAACTCCACAACACACCTGTAGTCGTGTTCACACACGTTTACCCACTCACGTATGTATAAGTACTAATGAACACAAACACTTATGTGAAGACGCCATGCACATAAAATTCATGCACATGTACCCACATCCTGACACTAAAAAACACGTAAGTGGAGCTCACTCTTTTGCACTAGCTCCTTCAAAAAGTGGAACTAAGACCAACTGATGTGTCTCCCTCACATCGATGTTTCTCTCTCTCTGTCTCTTCCCCTCCACTCTCTAAAAATGAATAGAAAAATATCCTTGGATGAGGCTTAACAACAAAAAAAGTGGAACTAAGACTCTTAGACCAGAGTCAGGTCAATGTCATGACACGTTTGCTGACTTCTTTCAGCAGACTTTACAGTGGGAAACTCATTTCTTCTCTGTTCAATCTTGGAATCAGCAAAGAATCTTTTTTTTTTAATCCTCACCTGGGGATTTTTCCATTCATTTTTAAGAGAGTGAGAGGGAGGGAGAATGGGGAGAGAGAGAGAGAGAAACATTGATGTGAAAGAGACACATTGAGCCCTAGCTGGTTTGGCTCAGTGGATAGAGCGTCAGCCTGTGGACAGAAGGGTCCCAGGTTCGATTCCAGTCAAGGGCACATGCCTGGGGTTGTGGGCTCGATCCCCAGTAGGGGGCGTGCAGGAGGCAGTCAATCAATGATACTCTCTCATCATTGATGTTTCTATCTCTCCCTCTCCCTTCCTCTCTGAAATCAATAAAAAAAGAGAGAGACATATTGATTGGTTGGCTCCCACATGCACTCCAACCTGGGCCTGGGATCAAACCTGCAACCAAGGTACATGCCCAAGATGGAATTGAATCCAAGATCCTTCAGTTCTTGGGCCAACACTTTAATCACTGAGCAAAACTGGCCAGGGCTCAGTAATGAATCTTGAATGCCTGAAAGCCCCATGCTTTCAGCTCATGCCTGGTCTGGCCAGCTACTGCTCACAGACACAAACACACCCACAAGTTTGACTGATTTTCCCTCAACCCACAAGACTGGAGGGCTAGCAGCTTTAATTTTTAGGGAAAGACACTGAGGCCTAGGAAGGGAAAATGACTTGCCTTAGTAAACTCATGTAAGTAACCCAGCGAGACTGGGAGCTCGGGCTCCAACCTCCTTAGCTAGTCTCACTGTCCTGCTGTTTGCGGAGGGCATGGAACCCAGCCACCAAGCTGGGCCTGTCCTGAAACCCCCAGGACGCACCATAACAGACAAGGCGGGTCGTCTCTCGCGAGGCCAGGGGTGTGTTGCACAGGCGGCAATTGGGGCTGTAGTCGCTATCTTGGAGCCACTGCAGGTAAGACTGTACGATGCACTGGAGTGAGAGAGAGGTCAAAACTGAGCAGGGGCTCCACAACCCAGCTACCTAAGCCCCAACGGTCTATCTCTCATCGCAGAGACTTCTTTCGTTCGTTCAATCAATAAAGGTTTACTGAGCACATGCTGTGTGCCAGACTATGTCTTTAGGACTAGGGGTATAGCAATGAATCAAATGAAGTCCTTGCCCTCCTGGAGCTTCCATTCTAGCGCCTGGCCCCTCATGGATTTGGAAGAAGCCAATACTACCTGCCCTCCCAGTGCCCTGCTCAGCCGCTCTTTTCAAGGCCCCACCTTGGCGTGATTGGCGACCAGGCAGTGCTCGCAGACGTTGACCCGGTGTTCGAAGCAGAATAGGTTTGTCACCTTCCTCTTGGGGCACTTGCAAAGGCCCATGGTCCACCCTGAAGAAGGGGTCAGAGTTGGTAGGGAGCCAGGTTCTGGTGGCCGCCACTTAGGCACTCACCAGCCAAGTTCGTTTCTACTCCCCTGGACACTCTCCTGTTGGTGCCAGCCCCAATTTCCGGCCCGGCGCCCCTCTTCACTCCGGACCACGCCCCCAGCATAAATCCCTCCTCCGAAGACCCCCCTCATTCCTCCTGAATCCCGCCCCGGCCAGGCTCCTCCATCCGCGCCCCTCCGATACCCCCGGCCCCGCCCCCAGGGGCGCCGCCTGGGTCCCACCCCTCCAGGCCCCGCCCCCCTTTCTCCACAGACCCCACTCTCAGTGTTACTGATGCACCGCGGCACCGGTCCCGGCGAGCAGGAGCGCTGGTCCGAGGGGTAGACACCGCGCCCCGTCGACCTCGGGCTCAGCTCTTTCCAGCGCCGGCCGCCCCGACTATCCCTCCGCTGCCACGTCTCTTCCGGGTGCGGCGCGTGCTGATGACGCCAGCACGCCACTGGCCCCGCCCCTGAGACGCTTTACGTGGGTGACGGGAAGAGACGCGGAGAGCGGACCGTCTTTCCCCCTCCCGCCTTGCGTCACTTCCGCTTCCTCACGGGCGAGGCGGGTAGTTCGAACGTTTCTGCTTCGAAGGAGCCTGGCGGTTGGCGCGAGCCCCACCACCCTCGGTGGCGGCGCGGCGAAGGTCGAGACCAAGATATGTCCGAGAGGCGGACGCGGTCCGGCGGGGCCGCCCAGGGCTCCGGTGAGCGGAGGGCGCGCGGGAGGGATGGGGCCCAGGTGCTTGAGGGACGCCGTTCCGTGAGGGAGGCCCTCCCCCTACCGC